AGAAATAAATAAAACCAAAAAGAAAAAACATTTTTTTTTTTTTAGTTTGAAATTTCAACATTTTTTTTTTACTTTCAAAAACATTGCCAATCTTTTGTTTTTGGTTTTTGAAAAGTGTAAAAACGCACTTAATTCTGAAATTTAGTTTATATTCCCATAACTTTTATGTGTTTAGCTGATAAAATTTTCAAGTAAATGACAGCAACATATTTTTTAGCAACAGATTATTAGGTAACCGGTTTTTTAATCAGAGTAGATTTTTAAGAATTTGTTAATGAATTCTATTTGTGAAACTTCTTTATAACTTATTTACACCTATTCAAATTCTCAATACTTTTTTATTGCTAAATCTTGATTAAGCAAACATCTATTTGACCATAGATTAAAGTGAAACTATTCTGGTTGTCAATTCCTCTTCACTGATCAATCAGACTTTTTACGGCAACTAATTTAGACTTTAAATACTTTGATTTAAAAAAAAAGCGTAATTAGTCAACAAAATTGTTGTTTATATTTGGTACCATTCTTCTTGTTGCTTACCAAACTTTGCTGCTAAATATTCAAGTACAAACTTTAGCAAAAAAAAAAAAGTGAAAAACAAGACTGGGGAAAAGCTTACACTGGTAAAAATTCTTGAGCAACTTTAAACGATAGAGCTTCATTCCAAACCAAACAGTCACTGCCCTTTTGTACAGAACTTTTTCGTTTCTTTTGAACTTTACCATTTTTGATCAAATTTACCCGAACACATCCGCCTTAAATAGTTGATCAGAAAATCATTAGACACTTATAAATGCTTCATCAAATTTTTTCCTTTTTTTTTTTTGATAGTAATTATTAACCAGTGACAAAAATCATACAAAAATTTAGTCGTCTTTTTTTTTGAATGCTGTATTATTTTACTATCTTTTTAGTAAGAGACTGTAATCAAGCGACAAAACTTAAGCAGCTTTTTTAAAAGCTTTTTTTTTTTAGTCTATCAAATAAAATTACTGCATATCTATTCCAGTTTTTTTTTCTTATTTTTGGATACAAATATTAGTTATCAATGGAACAACAACAACAACTGGGCTGACACTTACCGGGTACATTTGTATAGGACAGATTTCTGACCTGATGTACAACCACTGTTAATCTTTCAACGGGAACCAAATACTGTACACCAATAAGTAATTCACCCAAATTTTCAATCTAAAATATTTATTAATTTTGAATATAAAAGCAGTGCAAAAAAAAAAAAAAAGAAAAAAAATTAAAAATAAAGCAGTAATAATTTGTTTTACCAACAGTGATCTGTGATGCATTATAATGTTTATTCATATCCAAATTTTTTACAATTAACGAGATACGATTAACACATAAAAAATTGATGTGTTCACTGAGAAAAGAATTAATATTTATTTTATATTTGATCATAATACTGACAAAAAATTATTTAAGTATGTAGCGTTCAAAGAGCACAGATCATAATGCATTAAAAAAAGTTAATAATTTTCATGAATTTTTTTGAAGACAAATAAATTTTTGGATAAAATTTACCTGCTCACAGGCGTCTAATGTTACCCAAACATATATCTCACCAGATGGATTAAGTGTTGATAAATCTATTGTTGAAATACCGATTACTGTTGAAGAAAGACCTGTAATAATTTAGGTAAGAAAAAAAATAATTACAATTTAAAAGTGTTATAGCATAAAAAATTATTGAACTGAAAAAAACAGTGACTAAAACAAAAGTGATAAAGAAGAATTGTGAAAAAGAAAACAGAACAAAGTATTTGTTGAAATGTTTTCCAAAAATTTGCGGTTTCTGTTTTTCAACACTTCAGTTGAACAGTTTTTTACAAATAAATCTGTCGTTATTTTTGAGCATTCAACAGTTAACTGTGATAATCACTTCGTCTCGAAGTGACAATACTTTGAGCAAAATTTTAGTTGTTTTTATAAATTTATGCTTAATAATTGCTAAACCTACAATTTGGTGGTTGTTTGCTGCTTTTCTAAATGTATCAATGGAATTGTACAAATTAATCATCAGTATGTTTTTGTGATTTGTAGTTATTTCTCTTTTTTTTTTTTTACCTTATTGCTTTTGTTTCTGTCATTAC